GGTCGGAGGGGCCCTGCGGCAGGCGCCCCGGCTCCATGCGCAGAAGGGATCTCGTGCCAGCACGCACTCGCCACAGCTGCGGTACAGGCTGCAGTTGGCAAAGGGCACCTGAGCCACCGCTGTGTAGGTGGCTGCGTAGACCAGGCCCTGCGGGAAGGGACACAGCGGGGTCAGCAGCACGACCGCAGCCCCGGAGCCGTGCAGTGGGGTTGACTTCTGCACACCCCCACCCTCCCGGGCTCCCTGGCCCCAGCCCACGAGCAGGACCTGCCCCATGCAGGCTGAGCCCACAGCATCCCCCCCTCGCTCCAGCCCCAGCACGCCCATGCCCGGCTCCTGCCTGGTCCTGGTCCAGCAGCAGCTGGAGAATGGGCTGGCCAGTGGGGAAGAGGCGGATCTCCTCGATGATGTGCACCCTGTGGTTCACGCGCACAGCTTTGTGCAACCTGCCATCGTCTGCAAACACAAGGGCCATGCTGAGAGGGGCTGGGGCACGCGGCGTGCTGGCACCCGCCCTCTCGGCAGCCTGCAGCTGCACCCACCTGTGCCCAGGAAGAGGACGTCGTAAGTGCCGTGGAGGCCCTGCGCACGGTGGACACCAATCTGCTGGTAGCGTAGGCGGCTCTGCAGCAGCAGCGGCTGGCTGCGCACAGGGCTGTCCATCAGGAAGTGGTCCTTGATGAAGTTCAGCACCCGGTCTGGCATCTGGAGGGACGAGTTGATCTTCAGGTGCCGCGTGTGGCTGGTGATGCACTGGGGAGAGAAGAGGGGGCTTGGCCAGGGCATGGGGCAGCAGGTGGGCAAGTGGCCGTGCCGTGGCGGCTGCCAGGACCAGGAGAGCGTGAAGGGCTGCCCCGCGTCCTGCACCTGGGCAGGCACCAAGGAGGCACATACCGTGCCCGGCCGGGGCTCCGGCACAGGGCCGGTGTCTGTGTACCACTGCTGCGTCTCGCGGTTCACCTCCTTGTAGAGCCCACCGAAGGCTCGCTGCACGCTGTGCATGGGGAAGGCGCACACAGCCGAGCTGCCCAGGCCGCCCTTGTTCCTGGCAGGGGAGAGGCAAAGCCCATGGCAGTATCAGGTACCCCAGCTCTGCCGAGCCCCTGCGCCACCCCAGGAACCCGAGCGTGGCCAGAGCCGACCTGCACCTCCCCGACCGCCCCGTGGTGCTGCGGGCAGCGCTCCCGGGTCCCAGCCAGCCCCGGCCCGCTGCTCACCACTGTGAGGTGAAGACCCCATAGAAGAGTGTCTCCCTCCAGCGCAGCTCCCCCGGGGTGAGTACGAAGACATCCTGCAGCACGTTGAAGGGGAAGCCGTCCTCAGGGTGCGAGCAGAGCAGCTGCGCCTTCAGGAAGGTCGTCCACCGCCGCTGCAGCACACGCTCCCCGCCCTGGTCCCCCTGCACAGCACAGTAGGTCAGGGCATGATGCCATGGCCGCCCAGCAGCAGGGAGCCCCACAGGGCTGGGTGAGTGGAGCAGGGGTCTGTCCGTCTGTGCAGCAGTGCCGAGGCCCCAGGGGAGCAGCCCCAGTGTCGGGGAGGGACAAGCAAAGCAGCGTCTGAGGTGCCCAGGGGAAGGGAAACACGACCCAAGAGGAGGACAGGGCTTGTGTCCCCTCTGGCGAGGCAGCAGAGATGGGGAAGGGTCACTGCCACCAACGGGGCTGGCAGGAGCAGCGGACTTGAGCCACAGCCCTGGGCTGGGCACTGTGGATCTGTAACTGCCGCAGAGGAGCACTGAGGGCACTGGTCCCCTTCTGGGGTGTCCAGGAACTGGGGGACAGAGATGTGCAGGGTGGTCCCACATCCCCCCCTGCCCCAGCAGTGAGTGACACCCTGGGCACGGCCCCCCACGCACACCCCCGCTGCCCTGCACCCACCTTGCACACCCGCGCGATGCGGGAGACGATAGTGTTCTCGAAGTAGTCGAACTCCTTGCCAGTCTCGCTGAAGAAGAAGTAGACCTTGTCGTCGTCACCCTCGGGGTTGCCGGCGGGCAGGCTCTCCCGCAGGTAGGCTGAGCCCACAAAGACCGGGTCTGGGGACACAGGAACCCTCAGCATCGCCCCCCGCCAGGGCCAGCCCCCATCCCCACACCTCCCCCATCATGGGGGATAGAGACCCCAACCCACTACGCCAGCCCCAGCTCTCACCCTGCAGCCAGTTGAGGGAGTTCTCCGTCTTGAGGGCGATGCGGCTCTCCTGGCTGCGGTAGATGGTTGGCTCGTTGCCCTGGAAGTTGCTGACAGTCCCAGCATAGAGCTCACCATCTGCCAAAGAGACACTCCCGCTGGGACCCGGCACCCGGCACGTGCCATGTGGCACAGCCCCGCTCCCCTGCCGGGGTCCGTGCTGGCCCAGCCCCGGTTCAGCCCAGCCAAGCAGCTCGGGACTGCAGAGAGAGCAAGGGTCCTGGGGTGGCATGCCTTACCGACCATGACGGCCGTGGACCGGTACTCAGGGTCGAAGGGGCAGCGTCCCTTCCCGTCCTCCAGCAGCACCTTCCCTGACGTGTCCCGCTCCAGGCTGAAGCGCTGCACGTTCTGCAACAGGACCGGGCTGTGAGCCGGTAGCACCACCAGCACCCACCCCAGCAGCCGGGACCCCTGCTGCAGGGCCCCAACAGCAGAGAGGGAGACTGCACCCCCAGCGGGACTTGTGGCCCCCAGCCCCACTCCCCGTGCTCACGATGTAGGCGCAGGCCGGGCTGAAGGCGCAGGTCCCGCAGGTATAGAGGTGGGTGCTGTTCAGCTGCAGCAGCATTTTGATGTAGTTGTGACAGTCCCTCTGCAGGGGCGAGAAGACCCGGCTCAGCCCTCCTGCCTGCACACACGCCGGCACAGGGCACTGCCCACTCCTGCCACAGCCCCCAGACACCCACCAGCAGCGGGGCTCACCTGGGGGTCCTTGCCCTTGAACACGCACTGCCTCTTCTTCTCCTCATCCGCGCTCCACGGCAGCTGCAGAGAGGGGACAGTCACTGGGAGCCCCCTGTCACCAGCTGGTCCCCACACACCACCCTGCTCAGGCTGGCAGAGCTCACCCCCAGCATCAATGTCCTCCCCACCTCAATCGCACTGGTGAGGCAGCCACTGGCTCGGGCTGAGCAACCCACTGCCCAGGACGGCCAGGGCAGCTGCCTCCATGCTGTCCTGACTGGCTCCCAAATGTGCGGTGGCTTGCACAGACCCCAAACGCTGCCGGGGAGTGGACCCCCTGCACCAGAGCTAGCTCGGTGCCCCCTTCCCTCCCTGAGGGCAGCACAGCCCCAGCTCAGCCCCGGGGCCTCCGTGGTCCTGCGTGGGGCTCAGCCCCCATCCGTGGGCTCACCCTGCGAGCTGGTGCCCCAGGCTGGAAGTGGCTGGTGTTGACAGCGATGAGCAGCTCGCGCGCCCCCAGGTAGAGGGTGCCACCGTCCGGGCTCAGCAGCAGGGCCGTGTAGTTGGACACGCCAGGTACCTCGAACCGCTGCACGACGCGCTCGGCTGAGTCTGGGGAGGGAGAGCAACAGGCATCAGCCTCATGCAGCCTGCGCTGGGCAGCACCCGACTCCCTGGGGCCCCCGTGCCACGGCTCGCTCCTGGACCCTCTGCTTGGCACTGCTGCCCCGGCCTCGCACATCAGCTGCACTGCCCGCACAGAGCTGCCAGAGCCAGATCCGGCTCTCCCAGCGCGGTCAGACGCACACAGCACTGCACCGCAGTGAACCGTGCACGGCCGCGATAGCGCCCGAGGGCAGCCTCCGCGCTGCTGCCAGCATGAACCACTGCCTTGTCCCAGCCGTCCCCAGGGCACGCCGCAGCAGCCCTGCCCGGCACTGGGCACTGCAGCCAGGTCTGTGCTCGTCCAGCCACACACAGCCCCTGGGTCTCAGCCCTGCGGCGCAGGTGGCCCAGCCCAGTCCAGCCCCAAGGAGACCCCGAGCTTGCAGCAGGGAGAGATGGGTGCCAGGACTGGCTGCCCACCCTGGCCCACGGGGCGGCCCCAGCAGCTGCCTGTGCCGGACACTGGGGCAGAGGCTACCGGCTGAGTCACGGAGTGCCCGCACACCCGTCCCGCGTGGGTGGCCTGGCCCCGGAAGCCCTTCCTCTCCCGCGGCCATTCTGAATCAGACAGGCCTGGCTGTGTCAGCGGGACACGTCGGGCTGACTCACACTGCCAACTCCCTCACCCTTGACACCCCACGCCCGGGGGATGCCCTGACCTTCCCCGACCCCCTGCCCGCTGCCAGATCCCTGCTGGGATGGCCCTGGGGCTCCTGCAAGCCCCCGCTTGGTGCAAGCCACCATGAGGGCTTGAGGTGCTGCGGTGCCGGCAGTGCTGCAGGCCTGGACCCTGCTCCTCTCCCCCTCCCCTGTCGCTCCACGAGCCCCGGCTATCGCTGGATGGGGCAGCATCTCCCCTGTCCCTGGGGGCTCAGCTGGCCCCTGGCCCAGCACCCGCCCTGGCTCTCCTGCAGCAGCATAGAGGGAGGGATGCTGGCCCCCCAGGGGCATCCTCCTGTGAGGGGTCCTGAGCCTCAGCACCAGGATGATGCTGCCCGCAGCAGGCACAGCCCAGTGCAGGCAGCAGAGGGGCAGCAGGGGCCCCTGCACCCCGCAGAGCTGTCCCAGCCCAGGGAGCTGCGGGATCCCATGCTGGCTGCCAGGGGACCTGTTAGGACAAGACCTGCTTCTTCCAGACAAACCTGCTGGAGGCACATCCAGCGCTTCCAGGGGAGCAGCTCGCCAGCTCCTCCCTCCCACGAACCGCAAGCCCCACACGGCCGCACTCCCCAGGAACCACTGCCAGGCACACGCTGCTGCTGGCAGAGCAGCCAGCCTGCGCCCCCCGCCCCCCCCCCCCCCGGCGGGGCCGGGGGGGGGGGGCGCCCGCCTATGGACCGCAGGAGCAGCAGCCAGCCTGCGCCCCCCGCCTGGCTCCCAGTGGCAGCACTGGGGGGCCAGGTCAGGACCCCTGGGTATTGCCTGTGAGCTGCAGCCCCTGCAGCCAAAGCAGCCTCTGCAGGTGGGCAGAGCTCGGCCAGAACCGGTCTGTGCAGGCAGGGCCAGGCAGCGCGGCTCGATGTGGTGTGGCATGGCATGGCATGACGCCGAGCTGGGCTGTCCTGCTGGCTCCCGGGCCTCCCATCCAGCTCGGCGGGTCCCCGATCTGCTGGAACCCAGCCGCGGCCAGCGGTCATGGGAGCACGTGGCAGGGCCACGTCCATGCCGACAAACCACAGCACATTGAGCCAGGGAGTGCTCCCAGCTGCTCACGCCTTGCTGCCAGAGCTGGCCCGGCCCAAACCACTGCACCCTCCCAGGCTGCCCAGCCGGCAGCCAGCACGGGACAGGCTCTGCTGGCTGGTGGCAGCTGGATTTAGCCACCTTCTCCTGGCAGTGCAGCCAGCCCAGACACACGTGGGCGGCCCCCACCATGCCACAGCCCCAGCACCGGACGATGGAGCTGGGCCCAGCAGCTGCCAGTGCCGAGCCCCAGCCGACCATGGGGCACGCC